TGTAAATATTTGAAAGGAATTTTTTTTTTTTTTTTTTTTCTAAGCAGCAGGCCTCAACAGTGGGCTTAAAATATTCAGGAAAACATGCTGTAAACAGGTGTGCTGTCATCCAGGCTTTGTTGTTTTATGTACAGAGCACAGGCAGAGTAGATTAAGCATCATTCTTAAGGGCCCCAGGATTTTTTGGAACAGTAAATGAGTATTGCCTTCAACTTAAAGTCACAAGCTGTATTAGCCCTTTACAATAGAGATAGGCTGACTCTATTGACTTTGACGCCAGGCATTGACTTCTCTCTAGCTACGAAAGTTCTAGATAACATCTTCTTCTAATATAAGGCTGTTTTGTCTACATTGAAAATCTGTTGTCTGTCACCTTAATCAATTATTATAGCTAGCATTTGCTGCTTCACCTTGCACTTTTACATTACGGAGATGGCTTCTTTCCTTAAGCCTCATGAACCAACCCCTACTAGCTTCAAACTTTCCTTCTGCAGCTTCTTTACCTCTCACAGCCTTCACAGAATTGATGACAGTCAGGGCCTTGCTCTGGATTAGGCTTTTGCTTGAGGGAATGTTGTGACTGGTTTGATCTTCTATCCAGACCACTAAAACTTTCTCCATTCCAGCAATCAGGCTGTGTCGCTTTCTTATCATTCATGTGTTCACCAGAGTAGCACTTTAATTTCCTTCAATAGCTTTTCCTTTGCATTCACAACTTGGCTGTTTGGCACCAGAGGCCTAGCTCTCAGCCTGTCTTGGCTTTCAACATGCCTTCCTCACTGAGCTTAATCATTTCTAACTTTTGATTTAAAGTGAGACATTTAAAATTCTTCCTTTCACTGGAACACTTAGAAGCCATTTTAGGGTTGTCAGTTGGCCTAACTTCAATATTGTTTAGTCTCAGGGAATAGGGAAGCCCAACAAGAAGGAAGAGATGGGGGAACAGCCAGTTGGGGGAACAGCCAGTTGGTGGAACAGTCAGAACACACATAACATTTATCAATTAAGTTCGTTGTCTAGTATAGGCACAGTTCATGGTGTCCCAAAATAATTACCATAGTAACATCAAAGACCACTGACCACATGCCACCATAACAGATATACTAATAATGAAAAAACCTGAAATATTACAAGAATTACCAAAATGTGACACAGATGCGAAGTGAGCACAAGACTTGCTCGCTACAGGATCGCTATAAGCCTTCAATTTGTAAAACTCAAAATATCTGCAAAGTGCAGTAGCAAAGCACAATGAAATGAGATATGTCTGTACTTAGAACTAGGATACATAACAACCTAAAATAAGAATTAGAGCATGGACTGTAAAGTATTAAATTCACTACCTTGTGAGATGATACATTAAATAAAGCAGTATATTTTGGAATATGCCATCCAAAAAATGTAGCAAATAAATAAATAAATATGGTCCAGTAATTTTTCCAAAAAAAAAGCCTCTAGTTCAAATAACTGATTGACAAAGCAATTCTTCTGGAAAATATTTAAAGCACATTAGGTAAAAAAGTCACATACTTTAAACAAACTTTCCTACCTTTCTTTACACAATTATCAGAATATTTGAAGTTTTATCTCTATTTCTTGACTCATCATTACCAAAAATAGAGCATGAGCTCCCAGCTTTGAGTAAAACTGGAAGCTTATCTTCCCAAAGGAATAT